GGCTGTTCCGACAGGCCTGGGGCTAAAGAGCTTTTGCCCCCCTTCTCGAATGGTATGACTGTTGTGTGTTTTTTAAATTGTGTATTGTTATGTTCGTCTTTTTTATTCCTTATTTGCACCCCCCACCCCTTGACTTGAGTTGTGAGCCGCCCTGAGTCCCCTTTGGGGAAAAGGGGGGCATAGAAATATAATCAATTCAATTCAATTCAACCCGATCGGACGGACTTGTGACTTATTCCAAGTAATGATAAATTCACATTACAGCGCCTTCTGAGTTTCTAAGAAGAGATGCTGGCAAACGAAGAAAACAGCTTAAGGGTGCACGGAGTTGGACCAGCCGAAGTATTTGAGCTAGTCGTCTTCTGGGAACGTCAGACCTGGCATGCCAGCTGCGAGTTTCTCCACGTACAAGAAACATTTTGAGCAAAAAGGCAGGGTTGAGAAATGAACAGAAGGAACAAGACAAATTCTGGCTCCAAGAGAGCGGAGAGCACTCCTTTAAAAGCTGCGTACTATTTCTTACCTGCAAGAGTGAATTATTGTCTATGTACAGCTCTTCAAGTTTAAGTGCAGTTAAATTAATTTCAAGCCCTTTGAGGTGATCTATCACGTTGGAAGTGAGCGTCTGGAGTCCAGAGACGTAATCTTGGAAGCTGGTGAAGACTGGAGGCTACAGAGATGGGCGAGAGGGGGGAAATGTAAAAGGCCATCCTTGGCCTGTCCTCCGTTGTTTAATGAACCATATATAAAGGAGTTGCTCTCAATAATCAGGAATCAGGAGTCAAGCTGCGGCTTTGGGGGGAGAGGGAGGAAGAGGAAGGGACATCATAGCCTGGCCTACCATGGCCACACTGCTCTCTTTTTTCTTCTTTTTCTTCTTCTGCAGGCTTGACTTCCAGGGCCGGAGGACGGCATCTGAGTAACTGCAGACCCACAAGACGATAGAGATGGTCTGCGGGGAGAAGCAGGGTGGGGGAGGTGCTTTAGGGCAGTGTTTCTCAACCTTGTCAACTTGAAGATGTCTGGACTTCAACTCCCAGAATTCCCCAGCCAGCATTCGCTGGCTGGGGAATTCT